GAGTCGTTTAAAGATATTCCCTTTTGGTCGAGGTGTCAAGGTAATTTTACGGGATATCGCTTCACTATTCAAATTCATCCAGCCTGAAATACCTCTTCTCAAATTGAAATCGCACCCCTCTTAAAAAAATAAGCATCAAGCACCAATCTGCAGGGAAAATCATCACAGAGAGGTTTGCAAGGTTGGGTATAATATAACGTGTGGTAATGTGAACTTACAGCTGCTGTGGCAGGAGTGTGCACGTGTATGATGCAGCGGATGTCTGGACGCATGGAGTAGATGGCAGCATGGGGGCTGAAACCTGCGGGGTCGATCCTCAGGTTGGTGGAGCCCTGGTCGATCACATCCCCGATGATGTTGACTTTCACCTGGGGAGGCAAGGATAGGGTGCTTTGAGAATATCTGCTTTGAGTGGTTAAAAACACTTTAACTCAAGCAATAAGCGCCAAGAGTACGGCAGGGCTTTAGAGGCCACAGAGAGACGACGTACTGTAAACCATTACAACATCAGTGAAATCAAATATGCCGATACAAAACTAGCTCACAAGCAGGTTATAACCCTGCAGCGTTAACCAAGCAGGCCTAAAGATAAGCCAACATCTGTGAGTATGATGGCACAGAAATCACATTACAACAATTCCTCCTTTCTGTATGCTCATCTCTGGGAAATGAATTTACGCTTTACCAGGAAACATAATAGTGGAACGGAGTGGACTCACTATGACAACTTCATTACCAACCAGATAACAGTTATTTGATTACATGACCGGAGAGAAAAGCATTTGAGGCAAAAGATATATAGAGGACCTGGAGGTACAGAGAGTACAATACCAGAGAGGGGAAAAAAGAAGACTGATAACTGGACACAGAGACTGTGATATAAAACCTGGAGGAAGAGCAAGTGCAGATGTCAGTCCTCGCAGTAAAACCTAATAACAAACCGAAAACACAACTTTGCCTGCAGACCTTGTACACAATTGGCATCACTAAGCACATGTTGTTCTGTGATACAAGCCAGAAGGCCTGCTCACATTTCTGACCCCCCTCAACAAGGTCCAAGAGTGTGTTATCACACCAGGAACATGGCATCCATCATCCAGTCAGAGGCTCATGAAACAAACCCAGTTCAAACTGAGCCAGCTCAAAAGTGTGGGGTTTGGTATTTAAAGTGTGCATGGAGCAGGAAACTATTTCCTTCCAAAATTAAAGGAATTACATTTTTTTTTAACCCCTTCAAACTTTGTTTTTAATCTCTCATTATCATATTACTCAAACTAAAAACGCACCCTTCCCATCCAGGGCTTCTTCAGAGCTGTGCCTCTACTCATTAGCTTTGGTAGCAACAGATCATTTTTATTTTAGGATTAAAAAAACGATTCAATAACAAAAACAAACTGCACAAAGTCACTGGAGGTGTGGCTTCTAAGTTTTCACCTCGCAGAAAACTTGAAACTCGAGTATTGATCACTGAGAATATAACAGATTTTTTAAAAGTAAGACCAAAGTGTTACCAGGGGAAACTTGCCACTACTCAAACTTCTGAATAAATAATCTTGTTTTACTTGGTTTGAGGTTTATAACTACTTGGATAGTTTAGAGTGTCTTTCCTTTTACATCCTTTTAGATCTGGTCACTACTAATTCATTCTTTAGTAAAACAAGAAAATTCAGTAAAAGAAGATATTTAACCTCAGAAAACTGCATATGACTAAAAATATTGTTGAAAATGAACCATATTGTGTTGGCACGGGGCCAATACAGCGCCTGAGCAATTACTAGCTCGACTGGTTAATACGTCTCTTTCCTTTGATCCTTAAGAGAGTCCACAGATTGTTTCCGATCTTTGGGTCAAATGAGGCTGAAAATCCTCAGACGCATTCTGAGTGGTGTTCAGACGTTTAAAAGGCATATGGGTGTTTGGGCAGATGAATTTATTGATCTTTCCAGCAGAGGAAAGTGAATGGCACCAGCTAAGCGTGAGTAACTAACCCCATCTATGTCTCCACACACCCTTTCCTGACAGCCACAGCCAGCTGCCGTGTGATCGAACACTGTTACGTCACATGGCCGGTCCATTATTGGATCACCCCCGTCACGTCCTTCAAACTTCAGCCCTTCAAACTGAGAGGCCCTTATGGCCGGTGTAGCACCTCTAATCTTAAAAATAAGTCAAAGGACGTGTCAAAGAATCTGAAATGTGATGCAGCTGCATGGTAGGGAGGGGATTAGAAGCTGATAAGGAGAGTGGGGCCAGAAGCAGGCAGTTGAAACTGAAAAGGAAATCTCTGAATTCCTTCACGGGTTCAAGGTTGCCTGATTCAAGTTAAGCAAATCCAAGAGTAAAAGAGAGGAATTCTCTCACCTTTTGACTCTGATGTGAAGGTAGCCAACAGTAATTTCAATAACAAGTTTAGAGACATGAAATAGGAAACTTTGCTGTGACTTCAGACTAAACTAAAACAACCAGATGGACCAAACATTTTTTCTTTTCAACTCCAAACTCAAACTGACCTCAGAATAACCTCAAAGCTCGAAGAGTAATACTGACAGGGAGAGACAGATGCAAACTAACCAAAGCCAACTGCAGCACAGCTTTTCTTAGAGGCTACAGCAGGCTGACCCCAACACAACCTTTGACACGCTTTATTCTGGATGACTTCCTCCTAATCAATTTCTTTGCCTTTCTAAACTCTTGAACTTAATCATGTAACTATTGAGCTTACTAAGACAAAGCCGGCTGAAAGTGGAGAGAGAGATTAAACAGATGGATATAAACAAAGCAGTGACGGACTGGCATCAAAACACAAACACTAAGAAAAATCTGGAAGTGCCAGGTTACACGAATTTGTTCCGTCTTTCAGCGTATGCAGTGTTGTGGTCAACTTTACTGCCCGACCACAGGATAGATGGATGTGGTCCAGACAAATAAACTAAAAATACTCACAGCTGAATAAGGTTGCCATATACTGCTTTTAAGGATTCTGTGGCTTCTAGTAAAAGTTATGGCGAGTAAGTTTGATTGAGTTTGCAATCACGGACATGATTAATTACACTTTACAATGATTTGAGCCAGAGACAGAAGGTAAGAGCATCATCTGTTACTTTGTGCAGCAACAGAGCTAAAACTAAGACTAACACAACATCGTCAAAGGTAATAGTTTTCTTTTTGCTAATAGAATAATAGAAAAGTATACTTGGGAGGATGAACAACCAAGAAGCCTGATTGGACTTATCAGTCTTGAGCTGACATTTGACAATGAATATATGGCATGAACCAATGAACCAAAATAAATATGAACCAAATACTGCTGGGATTACTGCTATTGGTAAATAAATAAATATCAAGTTTTATCCTGATTATTTTGTTGCAGTACTGAACTATTATTTCTGTGTGCTAATCAAAGACATGTCAACGTCCAAGTCTAACTAGTTAACTATTGCAGCAACAGGTTTTTGAGGCAGCAAAGTTACCCTAGTGAAGAGAATCTGTTCTAATGGTTTCAGGTAGGTACGCTTGTTTTGTTTCTGTACTGCAAAGAGAATTTATTGTCTGAAATTATTATCAGCAATTTTGGCACTTTATTCACTTTTAGGGAAATAAAGCAGATTTTCAGGGCAAGTTTACAGTGTCTGTGCTGAACTAAAGCAAAAAAGACAAACAAACCCCTATTAAATTAAAAACAGACTCAAAAATGACTGAGTTCGACAAGGACATGTTCAAACCACTCAGCCACCCACGAGGCTTTACTATCAGGAAGTAGCAAGTTAGGCGCGGAGATTTATATCACTACCTTCTAACCACTCTCGCAGGTCAAAAAGTGAAATCAGCTTGTCAGCCAGGTGCTGACAGATTTCACTATCTGGCTGCAGAAGCACACCTGCAGTATATTATCCCGGATTTTATCTGTTTGCGCAGGTGTAGAAGACAAAGTAGGAGAGTACAACAAAGCTACGAAAAAAACCCGACTGAAGATATGAGTCCGTTTTCTACTTTTGCATTTTGTTTTGAACACAGAGGCGAACCCTGGTTCTGTTTTTCTCCGTTCCATAATTTTTAAATTGTCAAATGGAAAAAGCAGAAATAAACAGAAGTCCGACAATCAGGATGAGACATGTTGATGAGACAAGAGCAACAGAAAGAGAAAACCAAAACGGAGACAAACCGAAATAGAAAGTGAATTAGAGGGAGCTGAAACGTACAGAGGGAGGTAACGAGGTTGCCAACGAACACTTATACACATTATTGCACATTTAGCGCCGTGGTATGCCGAGCAGAGCTGAAACTGGGGAGCCGGACAGACTAAACCACCTACAGTGTTTGCTGACAGAGAAACAGAGCGGCTAATGTCAACATGAGAGGTGCCGGTGACACAGAACATGATAAACACGTACACAAAAGGGACAGTCAGAGAGAGACGGTGGGATCTCGTGTACAGAGAAGACCAAAAAGCACTGGAAAAAGGTTCATCTGGTACGTTCCTCTTTAGAGTGAAGGAAGTAAATGGCTGATTAAGCCAAATGGGAGAGCGCTAGTTGAGTAAAGCAAATGCAAAGCCATTACAGTCCAATGTAATGCTGGCACAGTTACACAGAGAAGGATGCTGACGCAGACATTTACGATGCATTTCATTTGTAGCAAGAAATTCAATTAACAGGCAGGGCTTGTAGTTAAAAAACTGTGTTTTGATGAGACCACAGTGGCTCGTGTTTCTTACCAGGTTTGAAGCAGATGCCTCAGCAAATGAGAGTCCTCTGGGGATGATCAGGATGTGGTCTTGCTCTTTACTGACTCGGCCCTAGGAGGGAGAAAACACCGATTGAGGACTAAAGGTTACTTTTAGTTAGAAAAATATTAATCAGACCCAAGTCAGGACTGCATTAGAATAACAAAGAATTAAGGAAGAGTTGAAATATGGACTAAACAGTCAGATCTCCAATTAAAACATGCTTGCCAGCAACCTCCCTGTACATTTCTGTGGGCAACAGGGAGTCAGATACAGCATGAAATGGAGGAACTTGGGTGGAAGTGGACTGCAGAGTGGTTTGCCGTGGTCCAACCACTATGGGGAGTCTAAAGTGGCTCAGATAGCGTGCCTTATATGAGACAGCCGTTTGTATGTGTAGAAGTGTGTCAGCTGAGCCATCAGCTGATGTGGTCACAAAGAAATTATTGCTAAATGCATTGAGGCATTGTAAAGTCATCACTACTAGACTTTCTTGGGAATTTTGCACAGCACTTAAATAAAAAAAAGAATAGTGCAAATATATAGCATTTAAACAAAGGCGTAGAATAGTAGAGGATATTCTGAAAGTCTGTGTGGACAGTTTTTGAACTGTAGTATCAGTTTTCTGTAGAAAGTCAAAGGTTACAATAATCTTTGTTGTGAATGACAAGCCAGGTATTTAAGTTGTGATATTAAAGATGTTTTTGTAACCTCGAGACAATTACTGTTAGACTGAAACACCCTTGAAATGACAATAAAAGCTTTCTCTGCAAACAGACCCTCAATGTTTGTACCCGGAAATTGTATGGGAGACTTTGGACCCGGAAATAATACGGGAGACGGTAAAATTTATGAACTAGATAGATAATAGGGAATTTCCAGTACATCTGTGCTTTTGGATGAGTGTCTTACTGTGATGTAGGAGTTGGCGAAGTGTGCCCAGCTGAACAGGTCCACCAGTCTGTAGAGGCTGGCCAGTTTACAACGCGTCAGCTTCTCGCCTTTCACCATCGTGGTGGATTCCACTCCATACAAGTCGTTGATGGGAGTGACCATCCCCAGGCCTAAATGATCATGGACGATGAGAGGAGGGAGAGGGGGAGCAGGAATGTTAAAAATGCAGATTGCGGATCAGGTGGTATTAATATCAGTGACAACCTTGAGGACCAGACATCTGTAGCTAGCATCTGGATTTATCTAATGGTGTATCTGACTCTACATGAGAATCCTAATTTACACAGTGGGGTGATGCGAGCAGCACTCAGTCCTTTAATCCCTTTTTGTTGACTTTTATTATACAATTTTAACAATAAGCTAAACCAAAAGTCTACACAGTTTCTGACGTCTAATTTAGCATTAGTTGTGCATTCCAAGGCTTTGACTTCACATATGGGTCTCTTGGACAGAAATCGCAAAAGATCAAAACCCATGGAAATATGCACGGCTTTTCCGGAGTCTGGGGCTGGGTTGTCTAAGAGTATTTATGCCCTTAAGCACACAAAGCTCATGTTTGTGTATAGATCTCCTATATTCCAATATTGAGGCTGGGCTTTTGTTTTTCAGTGCAGTTCAAAGTTATTGCACCCTGGGCGCGGATGGCATGTGTTGGTGTCTGGTTGTCTGGGGCAACGAGCACAGTGACCACTTACTGAGGGGGGAAGTGTTGAAACCGGCAACTGTGCTGGCCATAAAGAAGTCTGCGATCTGCCTGAGGGCCAGCAGGCCAGTGGGGTTGTTCCCCTTCCGTTGCTGCTCTTGGATCAGGCTCTCCAATTCCTCCTTGAAAGCCTGAGAAAGATAGGGAAAGACAAAAGGTTGAGAGGGGACACGAGCCAACTGAGAACGTAATGTGTCAAGAACTACAAATCTAACCCTCAATTTAAGAAAAGCAACAGTAAAAAGGATTTACCGGTTAATCTTCACATTGTGACTTTTAGCACATTATCAAGCCTCGTTTTGAAAAATTTTTTTTTTTTATTCCATATATAAAAACGAGCCTTTACGTTTAACACAGGAGGCTTTAATCAGCTGTTATGCAGCTTAACTGGGAGACACACACACCCACACAAAACGAAAACATTTGACTGAAACTGGACATCCAGGTGTATTAATCTCAAAGTGAGGCAATATCACAAAGAAAACTAAGACTATGGCGAGACAGATGAAGATAGGAGGGAGGAGGAAGGAATAGATTAGTAGTGACAGAGAGATAAAAGAGCAAAAAGATGTGGGAACATTCAAAGAGACAGGAAGAATGCGAGTAAAGACAGGAAGATCGTGGGAGACGTGCTAATCACAGATTAGACATCCTATTTGGGTGTCAATCTGAATCATCCTAAGAGCGCTCTACGAAGCTGGGCCCAGATTGGCTAGATACACAACAAGCTCCGGAAAGGTTGCTCGTCTGGTTAGCTCACTGCTTGTGCTTTGATTGGCTGCTTGGTGTAACTGGGAGAGAGTTAGTTTGTAGCTAATCCTCTTGTCCAGTCATCTGCTGAGTCCACAGACACGATACAGTATATCAACAAGCTCTTATGCAGACCCCAT